TAATGAAGACTGTTAAGAATACTTTTAGTTACTTAAGTAAATATGTTACACTTACTGAAGACTATATGGTAATTTATTCTGGTTTAAAAATATCAAGAAATGACATGGTAAATGTCTAGTGGTCTGGTATAAGCAATGTATGAAAGTAAGAATAATACCTATTTGCTAAATATCCAAATTATTAAGTGTGAAAACAATTTACATCAAAAACAATATTGTAAAAAATGGCTGCTTTAGATAGGATTACATTTCTTCCATGCTTTTAAATTAATTATCTCAACTGGTCCTCAAATAACCTCATGAGGTAGACAGGTCTGAGATAACGGTCTGCTGGTTCTCTGCTTGGACATTGGGGCTACAGTGTGATAACTAGTAGAGTAAACACTAAGCCATTCTGGTGAAGGATTTATGAGAAATTTTCTTTGACATGAACAAATCAGCTCAAATTGAGTTTATTTGCCATTTTAATAATCAAGATTGAACCAAGATGGTTTAATCTTAATAACCAAGTTGCTTACTAACCATCTATCATGGTATATCTACAAAGTACATGCCTGTACTATAAGACATGCACACATTCATAGTTACGTTTCCAAGAACTTTTTATTTCCCACAAAATAATTGGAATTTGGGGCTGGGGATTTAGCTCAGTGGCACAGCGCCTGCCTGGCAAGCATGAGGTCATGAGTTCAATTCCCAGTACCAGAAAAAAACAAAAAACAAACAAACAAACAAACAAAGTTGGAATTTGATGACATTAACATTATTATTTATTTAATGGCAGCCAAATATATCACATCATATTAAGTAAAAAGCCCAATATCCTCTTTCAAAAAAAAGAAATGAAGGGATGGAAGGAAGGAAGGAAGAAAGGAAGGAAAGAAGGAAGAAAAGAAAGAAGAAAGAAAAGGATTCTTTTTGTGAATAAGAGACCAGACATTCACCAGGCCTGGTGGCATATGCCTATAATCTCAGAACTTGGGAGGCTGAGGCAGGAAGATCACCATAAGTGTGAGGTCAAGTTGGGCTACACTGTGAGTTCAAGGCCAACCTGAACTACACAGCAAGACCCTGTCTCAAAAAAAGAAAAGAAAAGAAAAGAAAAGAAAAGAAAAAACTCCCTAAAAACAAAAGAGACAGACATTCAATGGGAACTCCAGTTATTCATCTAAGTACATGGTCATTAATTTATCTGAACATTTCACTTCACACTTCATATATTTCCTGTCTCTATTTTTATTCACTAATATTACAATAAATTCAGCTTAGCATTACCTGCTAATTTTATTCAAGTAAAATGTAATTAATCTTTCAAAGATAGTAATCAAATAGTACCACCTCAGCCAGCGAACAGACCTAATTCCAATCCTATGATGACTAGAGTATTATTTTGGCTCATCTACAGACCATTTAATAAAAAAAAAATTTAGTCCTGTGTAAGGATGGCAAGTAGCATAAGACTGTATATAAGTATTTTAAGATGATCACAGTTAGGGATAATTCTTTTCCCAATTAAAAGGATGAGTGTTGTTTTGACAGTTTCAAATGAACTCCTTCCTACTTTTTCCTTATACCTTAAAAATATATCATTAGAAATGCCAGTAAATTTATTGACAAATTCTCTTTAGGGCTCAAAATCCACATTTTTCAAGTTGGCAACTTCTATACACATCCATTTTCCAAGTACTTCAGCCCCTTGACTTTTTAAATCAATGAACCATATTGACAAAATTTTAATTATTCCCTGAATGTGCACACCTATTTCGATTTTCCTTATTTTCCTACAGTGGGCACATTAACCAACTAGTTTCATAGCTTACTTTGCTCCATTCTCTTTGAACTTCAGTTTTCTCCTCTAAGAATGGGGTCTTAAGTATTGATTCATTTGCAAAAAGAAATTGTTTAAGAAAGGAAAGACTAACATAAAAATAAAATATCTGGAGTTTTAATAATTTTGAAAAATCACAAGGGTATAAAACTGGCTTTCAGGCAGGGGGCATTACAATCTCTGACTTGAAACTATACTATAAAGCTACTGTGATAAAAACAGCATGCTACTGGCAAAAAAACAAACCTGAAGATCAGTGGAACAGATTAGAAGATGCAGAAACAATTACAGACATACTTAGGCACCTTATCTTTGACAATAGTGCCAAACACATTTACTAGAAGAAAGATAGCCACTTTTAAAATGGTGCTGGATGAACTGGTTCTGCACATGCCGAAGATTAAAATTGGACTCATCTTTCACCATGAACTAAACTAAATTCAAAATGAATCAAAGAGCTAAATATTAAAGCAGAAACATTAGCTCTGCTGGAAGATACAATAGGTAAAACATTTGAAGACATTGGTGTAGGCAAAGACAATGAATAAAACTCCAATTGCAAAGAAACTATTACAAAGAATCAACAACTGGGATCTCATCTCATTAAAAAGCTTTTGCACAGCACGAGATACCACCAAAAGAGTGAAGAGACAGCCCACAATGTGGGGGAAAATGTTTGCCAGATGTTCCTCAGGCAGAGAATTACTATCAAGAGCATATAAAGAACTCAAGAAAAAATCAGACCTTCCAAATTTAAATACCTTATCAAAAATGGGCATCTGAGATGAATACATACTTCTCAGATGAAGAAATACAAACAGCAAATAAACATATGAAGAGATGCTCTTGACATGGCTGGTCATTCAAAAGATGGGAATTAAAACAGCATTGAAATTCCATCTCACCCCAGAAAGGATGGCTATCATCAGGAAATAAACTAATAACAAAGGCTGGAGGGGCCGTGGGGAAAAAGGAACGCTTCTCCACTGTTGGTAGGAGTGTAGACTGGTGCAACCACTGTGGAAATCAGTGTAGAGATTCCTCACAAAACTAAGATTAGAGGTCCCACTCGACCCAGCTATTCCCCTGCTGGATATCTTCCCAGAAGAATTAAAAACATTGTACCACAGTAATATATGTGCACCCATGTTTATAGCAGCACAATTTGTTATAACTAAATCTTGGAAACAACCCAAATGTTCATAAGCTGAGGAATGAATAAAGAAAAATGTGGTCTTTTTATACAATGGTGTACTACTCAGCCACAAAGAAGGATAAACTGGAGACGTTTATAGGTAAATAAATGCAACTTGAGACCATACTCATAAGTGAAATAAACCAGATGCACATGTGCAAACATCATATTGTCTCCATAGTTTGAGAAGCTGAACGAGTAAATAAGATCCAAAATGTACAATAGATATTGTAGAATGGGAAGAAACTTCAAAAGGAAAGAGAAACTGGGATGGGGAATGTAGAAAAGAAGGAATGGAAAAGCAAAAATATATATATATATTATATAATAGTTAAGATAGTTATACTACTAATTTCTCTTAGTTCATTGAAAAAAAAGGGTTTATGCTAATATTGTTTGGACAATTAAATGCCTGCCAATATCTTGTACTTTGAGTAACTACTTTAAAAATAACAGTGCACAATGCATTAACCATTGTTATCCTCCTATTATCTTGTTTTAAAATTTTGTTTTATCTTTTTTCTCTTTAAAATAAACATGAAAAATAAAATTGGTTTGCAAAAATTTTTCTGAATCGAACTCAGGACCTTGCGCTTGCCAGGCAAGCTGTGCCACTGAGCTATATCCACAGCCCCCTAAATTTTCTTATTTTAAGTAAACTCATCAGCATTATATTGAAACAGACATTTCATACTTATAGTTGCTTACTGAAAGCACAGCAAGCATCCAGGTTTTTCTAAGGGTGTGAGATTATGGATGTTTCTTCTCGAGAACAGTAAAGCCACCATTTGTATCAAATTACAACACTGATAGAGTCAGCATACCTGAACTCAAGTGTTTTAATTATCTTCCTACCCTACAATTTCAGTAAAGCTACAATCTGTATGGAGAAAGATGGAAGGAAGGAAGGAAGGAAGGAAGGAAGGAAGGAAGGAAGGAAG